CAAAAAAAAAAAATTATTAAAAGGCCAGTGATACTTATTATTTCTAGTCATGCTAGTGTTAAGTACCAATGAGTATTCTTAAGAAATATAGATATATTTCTTTCTTTTTCTTGCTCTGTTGCCCAGGCTGGAGTGCAGTGGCATGATCTTGGCTAGCTGCAACCTCTGGTTCCCGGATTCTAGCATTCTCCTGTCTCAGCCACATGGGTAGTGGGGATTACAGACACCCGCCACCACGCCCAACTAATTTTTGTGGATATATTTCTGACATTCTATCCAATCTTGTTCTTGGAAAGGAGATGCCCACCATGTTAAGCCAGAACCACCAGAAAAGGGCATAAGACACACACCCATTAAGTGTTTTCTGTAATCCATTTGCATTGTCCTGAGCCTATTCCAAAAGAGGTTTGCTTCATGGACAATAGCTGGTGACAGTGGCAGCAAAACATAAGAACTAGGAATGAAAAGAAAGAAATTTGACAGGTGGGGCATGGTGGCTTACACCTGTAATTCCAGCACTTTGGGAGGCCAAGGCAGGCAGATTACAAGGTCAGGAGTTCGAGGCCAGCCTGGCCAACATGGTGAAACCCTGTATCTAATAATAATACAAAAATTAGCCAGGCGTGGTGGTGAGCGCCTGTAGTCCCAGGTACTCAGGAGACTGAAGTGGGAGAACTGCTTGAACCCGGGAGGCGGAGGTTGCAGTGAGCCAAGGTCGTGCCACTGTACTCCAGCCTGGACGACAGAGTGAGACTCCATCTCAAAAAAAAAAAAAAGAAAGAAATTTGGTGAGAACTTGCAAGTGAACACCTTCTCCATCTATTAGTTATTATTAACATTAAACATTTACCGGCAGTAAATGAGCTTAATAAAATTAAATTAAATATTCACTTAGAGATGCAGGCCTGGTCCAGTGTCTTGGGAACACTGACTACCTCAGATGTCATCTTTTTCTTGTTCTTGTTGGTTCTGGAGAATTTCCATTTTAGCTCACTGGTTTGAGATGAAGTCCAAATTGGCAAAATGGCTTTCTTTACATGGTGATGTATATCCAGGAATCATTGGTTGGCACAAGAGTTTTTGGGGCACCTGATAAGATTCCTTCCACCTCGATTGGTAAGAGTCCTTTAAAAGATAGCATTTCCAATCAACAAAATCTCCTGGTTGAAGTCCATGGTCCTTGAGTTTTTTGTCTCCTGGGAGCTCAGTGTGGAAAGAGTCTTTCACTAACTTACAGTTTTTAGTTAGCTGCCTTATAAGGCTACTGCAATAATAAAACACATCCCCTTTTAATATCATAGATTCACAATTTCCTACAGACAATTTAATAGGTATGCCTGTAATAATTTCAAATGGAGACAACTGACATTTACCAAAAGGGGTCAATCTTAGGTTAAGCAAAGCCGATGGAAGAGCTTTTGGCCAAAGGAATTTCTTTTCTTTTCTTTTCTTTTCTTTTTTTTTTTTTTTGATGGAGTTTCACTCTTGTTGCCAAGGCTGGAGTACAATGGCACGAACTCAGTTCACCCCAAATCCCTGCCTCCCGGGTTCAAGCAATTCTCCTGCCTCAGCCTCCCAAGTAACTGGGATTACAGGCACGTGCCATCATGCCCAGCTAATTTTGTATTTTTAGTAGAGATGGGGTTTCTCCATGTTGGTCAGGCTGGTCTCGAACTCCCAACCTCAGATGATCCACCCACCTCAACCTCCCAAAGGGCTGGGATTACAGGCATGAGCCATTGTGACTGGCCTTGGCCAAAGGAATTTTTAAAACCTCAGTTAATTTTGCCAATTGAGTTTTGGTGATTCCGTTTGTGCATTTCCCTGTCCCAGGTGACTGGGGGTGATAGACACAATGGAAACATTGGAGAATGAGTAAGATTTTACATACTGACTGGATTATTTGTCCAGTAAAATGAGCACATCTGTCCTCTGTCACTGTGAAGTTCTAAAGGGACTACCCACGTTGCAATAATTTTTTTCTAAAAGAATTTTACTTATCACTAAAGCTGTTGCTCTTCTGCATAGAAATACTTCCACCCTATGACAAAACATACAAACTGTTACTAGAACCTACTTATATTCTTGCAAAGGTGGTAGCTGAACAAAATCTAGTTGCCACACCTCAATTAGGCTTTCTGGTAAAGGAAAATGACCCGGAGAACTATGTAAAGATTTCCCTGGATTATGTTTTGGACAGATGTGGCAGCAATTATATATCTTATAAGCAACAGTTGGAGATTTCTAATAATCTTGTTTTTCCCAAGCAATCATCTTATCAGGGCTCCAATGAGTTAAATCATGCACACGAGTTAAGAAAGATAACTGTAATTTGGTTGAAAGCGTGAGTAGACCATTTGGTCCATATCATAGCCCAGTCTCAGAGAAGTACATTCCCCCTTTACTTTCCCAATTTTCTTGTTCTGTTTTTGGAGTTTTGGATTGAGCTAATTTTATATCAAAATCAAGTGCTTTCTTAAAAGCTAAAATGGGTTTTCTTGTTCAGATGCGCTTAGTACAGCCCTTTTTGCTGTACTATCTGCTAATTGATTTCCTTTGCTTTCTGAAGTATTTGACTTTGAATGGCTTGGAATCTTGATAAAGGGTAATGATTTGGGCAATAATATAGCTTCCAATAATTCTGAAATAAGGGGTCTATTTTTTGCGGACTGACCAGAAGAGGTTAAAAATCATCTTTATTTCCATAGCATTCCAAAGTAATGAGCTACTCTGAAAGCCTATCAGCTCTCTGTTATATATTAGCAGTTGTTCTTTTTGCCAGTTGACAGGCTCTAATTAATGCTATTAACTTTGCTTTTTGAGCCGAGGTCTCTCCGGGAAGATAAGCATTTTCTATTTCCTCAGTCAAGCATACTATAGCATCACCTGCATGGTAAATTTCAGATCTACCCTTTAAGTAAGATCCATCTGCAAACCAAATATCATCAGCATTAGTAAGGAGGGTTTCTTGCAGGTCCATCCTAGGAGAGGAGCTGGTTGGTTAAGATTATGCAATCATGTGGTGTTTCATCTGAAGGCAGGGGCAGTTGAATTTAGAAAAATTTAGACTTTTACATCTGGAGATTGATTGGGGAGCAGAAAGAAGAACTTTTTTATAAGAAGCCAGTCTACTAACTGAATAGTGTTAAATGTGGTGCAAGTTGAGAAGTGCTTCCACAGAATGTGAAATGAAGACAGTGGGGGGAGATCCTATCACTCTTTGTTTGGTCGCTGTAGGGACAGTAGCAGTTATTGCTGTCATGCATGGTTGCAGTTCTTTAGCTGTGGGGTCCGGTTGTTGACTATAGTATCCCACAAGTCTATTTTGATCTCCATGTTTTTGAGTCAGAATGCCTAAGGCAGTTCATGAACAAACAATGAAAATGAAATGTTATAATTCAGATACCCTAACACTGGGGCATCTATAAGACTTCTAAATTTCTTCCAGTGTTAGCCCAGGGTGGTGGCTCACCCCTGTAATTCCAGCACTTTGGGAGGCTGAGAAGGGCAGATCACCCAAGCTCAGGAATTTGAGACCAGCCTAGCCAACATGGCAAAACACCATCTCTACTAAAAATACAAAAATTAGCCAGGTGTGGTGGCGTGCACTTATAATCCCAACTACTCGGGAGGCTGAAGCAGGAGAATCACTTGAATCCAGGAGGTGGAGGCTGTAGTGAGCTGAGATGGCACCACTGCCCTCCAGCCTGGGCAACAGCAAGACTCTGTCTCAAAAAAGAAAACCAAAAATTTCCAATGTTAACTGATTTTCCTCTGTTCATTCCAGGGGGACTAGTTCACCTTATTTAAAAAGAGTATATAAAAGTTGAGTTTTTTAAGGAGAAGTTTGGAATTCAGTTTCCTCAGTGTCCTGTGAACCCCCAAAATTCTCTTAGTTGTTTCTTAGTTTTGGGGTAGGGAAGGCCAATATTCCTTTTATTCTTTTTTTTTTTTTTTTTGAGACCGAGTCTCACTCTGTCGCCCAGGCTGGAGTGCAGCGGCGCGATCTTGGCTCACTGCAACCTCTGCCCCCTGGGTTCAAGCCTCAGCCTCCTGAGTAGCTGGGATTACAGGGACATGCCACCGCGCCTGGAAAAGTTTTGTATTTTTAGTAGAGATGGGGTTTCACCATCTTGGTCAGGCTGAATCTTGAACTGCTGACCTTGTGATCTGCCCACCTCGACCTCCCAAAGTGCTGGGATTACAGGTGTGAGCCACCGCACCCAGCCCAATATTCCTTTTATTCTATCTGAATTGATAAAGAGGCTTTTCTCTGATACTAAATAACCTAAATATCTTGCTTGTTTTTGACAGAATTGAAGTTTTTTCTTTGAGGCTTTGTGTTCCTTTGAAACTAATCATTGTAATAAATAAATTCCATCCACTATGGAGGCTTGTTTATCTCCTGAGCAGAGAAGTAAATTGTGTCCATCCTGTATCAATGTGTATTTCTTAAGGAAGTCAACATCTGAAAGGTGTGCTATTAATATTTGTGAAAAATAAGTTGGACTCTCAGTATATTCCTGAGGCATAACTGTCCATGTGTATTGTCTACCTTCCCAAGTGAAGGTAAAGAGAAATTGATTATCTTTATCCACAGAAATGCTGAAGAATGAGCTACATAGGTCTCTTACAGTAAGGAACACACCTTCAGTTGAGATGGCAGTCAGCACGTATGCAGGTTTGGTAACCATTGGATGTTGAGGAATGACGATGTTATTAATTGCTCTCAGATTCTGTGCAAATCTCCATCCTCTACTGTTTGGAGCATGGGCTTGTATATAAAATAAGCTCCTTTTCATATAATCCAAAATTATACACCTTCTCCCTTCCTATGCCTCTGATCTTAGAGAATATTGTTTAAGGTTTGGAAAAGGTTTTGATGGATTTATTTGAATTTTAATTGTGGCAGCGAAGATAATTTTTCCAATATTGGTGGAGAATTTTGACCACAATTGATCAAGTACTATTTTTAATCTTTAAAAAAATTTTTATTAATATAAAATATAGAACATTTCATGAGTTTGTGTATCATCTTCATACAGGGGCCATGCTAATCTTCTCTGTGTCATCCCAATTTTATTACATGTGCTGCTGAAGGAAGCACTCAAGTACTATTTTTAACAGCTCTTGTTAAATAATTCGTCATTATTTAACAATCTAGTTTCCTTCATGACAATATTAATTGCTATTTGTGATTTAAAAGCATCAGAATTTGAGAAAATTTTGGACCTAATCTATTTTATCTTCTAATTCTAAGTATATCTCCCACCCCCGCATTTTTTTTTTTTTTTTTTTTTTTTTTTGAGACGGAATCTTGCTCTGTCACCATGCGGGAGTGTGGTGGCACAATCTCAGCTCACTGAAACCTCCGCTTCCCAGGTTCAAGTGGTTCTTCTGCCTCAGCCTCCCGAGTAGCTGGGATTACAGGCACATGCCACCACGCATGGCTAAATTTTTTTATGTTTAGTACAGACAGGGTTTCACCATGTTGGCCAGGATTGTCTCGATCTCCTGACCTCACGATCCACCCACCTCAGCCTCCCAAAGTGCTGGGATTACAGGCATGAGTCACCACGCCCGACCTTCCCCCTTTTGAAAGAAAGATATGTGAGTATTCTATAACTCTAGGAAGTCTCTCCCTATCAAATGGTTGGAGGCTGAGGGGGCAAAGAGGAAGACATGTTAGGTTCCCTCTAGGGGACCTAACTGAAAAACTATAGGTTGAGATTGATATAGTGATATAGGAGTGTTTGTTTCACCCATGATTTGTATTGCTTTTTCACTCTGAGGAATGGAATCTCATAATAAGGTGAGATTTATCACTGATAATATACCTCCAGTATCATTAAGAGTTTGTGTTTTGTCTCCATTTAAATTAATTCTAACCTTCCCTAAGGTATTTATAAGGAGGTAAGAAAAGGTCCATTTGGTTTCCTCAGAGCATCCTTACTCTTTTTCTTTGACCTGCTGCTGTCCTTTCCTTTTTTTTTTTTTTTTTTTTTTTTTTGAGACGGAGTCTTGCTCTGTCGCCCAGGCTGGAGTGCAGTGGCGTGATCTCAGCTCACTGCAAGCTCTGCCTCCCGGGTTCATGCCATTCTCCTGCCTCAGCCTCCCAATTAGCTGGGACTACAGGCGCCCGCGACCACGCCCGGCTAATTTTTTATATTTTTAGTGGAGACGGGGTTTCACCGTGTTAGCCAGGAAGGTCTAGATCTCCTGACCTCGTGATCCACCCGCCTCGGCCTCCCAAAGTGCTAGGATTACAGGCGTGAGCCACGTGCCTGGCCTGGCTTTACTTTGTAACACTAAATGTGAACCAATTGATATAAATCAGAAAATCTAGGATCATAAGTGTGAATGTTTAATTCAAATTCTCTAGCAAATTGTGCTCACTTCGGCAGCACATATACAAATTCTCTAGCAAATTAACCAGGCATCGTGGTGCACGCCTGTAATCCCAGCTACTTGGTAGGTTGAGGTGGGAGGATCATTTGAGCCCAGGAAGTGGAAGTTGCAGTGAAGGGAGATTACACCATTGCACTCCAGCCTGAGTGACAGAGCAACACCCTGTCTCCAAAACAAAACAAATTATCTAGCAAATCCAGTAGGGTCCTGAAGAGGATCCAGGAATTCCTTAAACCAAGGCAGATTCTCCTCTACCGGACATAGGGTATTCCCAAAATGGAGTCAGAACAGCAGAAGGAGGAGGGAGAGGAGGAGGAGGCAGAGGTGAAGGAAGGAAGGGAGGGAGGGAGGAAGGAAGGAAGGAGGAAGGAAGGAAAGAAGGAAGGAAGGAAGGAAGGAAGGAAGGAAGGAAGGAAGGAAGGAAGGAAGGAAGAAGGGAGGGAGGGAGGGAGGGAGGGAGGGAGGGAAGGAGGGAGGGGTGGGGAGGGAGGGAAAGTAAGTCCAAACAAAGAAGTTTTGACAAAAGAGAAAGAAGAGCTGAAGAAGGAGAAATTTCAGCAGTCTTTTTCAACTTAAAAATTGTTTTAGGCACTTTTGTTTTCTTCTTGCAAAGAAATGATTTTATCAGAACCTCCTTTAGATGCTTCCAAGTACCACTGAAAATCAATCTGCCAGTTGTTTTATTTTATTTTAGTGCCAGCCTTTTCTAATTGAGTGTGCAAACTAGTTTAGGTACTTAAAAGGTACCGCCATTTGGCCATTACAATTTGGTCGTTGTGAGTTATGTAAGACCATTTTTCTAAATATTTGCATATAAAGGTACCATAAGTATTAAACATGAATCTAGCTGGTGTTCCTAAGGGTGGATCTCTCCATAAGGAAGAAGACTCAGTTTTAGAAATATGATTGCTCATAATTTAGACTTTACTTTTGAATGACCAAAAAGACCTAGTGGGAGGTGTTTTGGATTGACTGTGCTGATTGTGGGAATAGCTCTTCAAAGTATCACCCTTGAGTCAGTTCTTCTCGTTTACGTGTCTTGGTGGTCCCAAGAGACTTGAGTGCTTAAGGCACTAGGCGATCAACTTGCATGTATGCTCACAGGATTAAGCAAAATTCCCTGTATATTCTTCTGAAGGGATTCCCTCTAGAACAGTTTATGTCATGAGTGATAAGCTCCAACACTCCCTCAAGACCTTACTCACTAAAGGTGCCTTTTGGCTGGGAAAGACAATGTCTTTATCTTCAGGACTTATCTTGTCCTCATAGAGAGCCTTTTATAATATTGTCACTCAAAAAAAAAAAAAAGTTTAGATTTGTTAATTGAACCGAGCTTCAGAATCTGACCTGCTCTAAAGTTTACAAAATTTTCACCTATGCCACAGAGATTCACTTCCTCTTTTCAAAGAGAAACTGTTTTCTCCCTAACCAAAATTTGGTACAAGAGAAAGTTTGAAAAACTCCACGCAGTAGTTCCAAACAAAACCTTAAGCTCAGAGAAAAGTGAAAATCACAAATCTGCAATTAGCAGAATCTGTAGAGAATAACAAACCAAACTCCCACCTTATTGTAGAACTTCAGTTCCAACCCCACTGAGTTAGGAATGTGTGTAATGCAAATAAAGTCTGAATCCTCAACCAATCCAGGAGAACTCAAACTTGAAAGGGGCCTTACCAGAGATTTGCATGGCCTGTGAAGTCAGGAAAATGAAAATCATTTGTGCTGGTACCAAGGCTCAAGTTGTTGACAAAGCATGGTTAAACAAAAAAATAACTTTCCCTTGGAAATTTGAAGGTGTAGCTCCATTATCTTCTACCTTCCATTTGAGAAGTTTGATGCCATTCTTATTCACAATCTTCTATTCATTAATTTTCTGTCTCCACCCTATTTCTCCATCCCTACCAGAGCTTTCAGAGACTTCTGTTTATCCCTAGGGTTTGAAATTTCGTGCTCCTTTTTCTTGTGTTTTGTTTTGTTTTTGAGAGGGAGTCTCGCTCTGTCGCCCAGGCTGGAGTGCAGTGGCGCGATCTCGGCTCACTGCAAGCTCCGCCTCCGGGGTTGACGCCATTCTCCTGCCTCAGCCTCCCTAGAAGTTGGGACTACAGAAGCCCGCCACCACGCCCAGCTAATTTTTTTTGTATTTTTAGTAGAGACGGGATTTCACCGTGTTCGCCAGGATGGTCTCGATCTCCTGACCTCGTGATCCTCCCGCCTCAGCCTCCCAAAGTGCTGGGATTACAGGCGTGAGCCACCGCGCCTGGCCAATAACGAGTCCTTTGTTGTCACTGGTTTATATTATTTGGTGGGAATATTTTTATTTTTATTTATTTTTTTTGAGACAGGGTCTCACTGTGTCACCAAGGCTGGAGTGCAGTGGCATAAGGATGGCCCATTGCAGCTTCGATCTCTTGGGCTCAGGTGATTCTACCACCTCAGTCTCCCGGGTAGCTGGGACTACAGGTATGAGACCATGCCCCACTAATTTTTTGTATTTTTTGTAGAGACAGGGTTTCACTATGTTGCCCAGGCTGGTCTCGAACTCCTGGCTCAAGCAATCCTCCTGCCTTGGCTTCCCAAAGTGCTGGGACTACAGGTGTGAGCCACCGTGCCTGGCCTTGTGGGATATTTATTTGTTTGTTCATTTGTCTTTTACTCATTGGGCTAGATACCAAAAAGGCCCTTTTAAGAAGAGGCTCACGTTCTTCAACTCTGAAAAATTATCTTACATTATTAATACTTTTCTCCACCAGTCTTTTCTGTTCTCTTTCTGGCACTTCTATTAATTAGCTGTCAGGCTTCCTGGATTGAGCATCTAATTTCTTATGTTTTCTCTCTTATTGTCCAATTACTTGCCACTTTGCTCTGGTTTCGGATTCCCTAACTATATCCTCTACTTTACTATTGAGATTTTCATTTCTGCCATCTCATTTTTATTTTCCTGATGTTTTTGTTGTTGTTATCTGAATACTCTAACTCCATTTATATTTGAGAATGGGACACAGAAAAGCTGAGAGCTGTGTTCGTGAACAAGTGTGTCGAGAGTGATCAGGTGTGGGCAATGACCATTATCTCAGGGAACTCCCAAAGGCCAAAATGTGGCGGTCTTTTCCCTATGACTATTTAATTTCTCTAGAGGAGGAGCCTGTAATTTCTTGCCTACCTGATAGATACCTTGCTGCTGGCCTTCTGAGAGAGAGAGAGGGAGAGTTAGGGTAGAGATGGGAAGAATAATAGTCACGTTTCTTCTTGATCATCCTATAGCAAAGAAGAAAAGTGACAAGCCCCAATAACAGACCTAGACTTCCCAATTATCTGTTCAATACCTCATTTTTAAAAATGCATACATTTGTACAAATAATCAGGGACACTAGACATCTGTTTTCACATCAGTTCTGTTTTGAGCCCCACTTCTTTTTTTTTTTTTTTTTTTTTTTTTTGAGACGGAGTCACGCTCTGTCACCCAGGCTGGAGTGCAGTGGCCAGATCTTGGCTCACTGCAAGCTCCGCTTCCTGGGTTCATGCCATTCTCCTGCCTCAGCCTCCCGAGTAGCTGGGACTAAAAGCACCCGCCACCTCGCCCTGCTAGTTTTTTTGTATTTTTAGTACAGACGGGGTTTCACCGTGTTAGCCAGGATGGTCTCAATCTCCTGACCTCGTGATCCGCCCGTCTTGGCCTCCCAAAGTGCTGGGATTACAGGC